CTGGGGGACGAAGCCGGTAGGGCTAGGAAGAAGAGCAAAGGCAGGAAGTTCCATCACGACCCCTCTCTGAAGCCGCGGAGGTCAGGCGTTGTGGTATGCGTGTGTGGAGGGAGGGGGAGGGAGACGGGCGTGGAAGGATGCTGGCTGGGTAACGAGTTTAGCACCTTCTGTAGGTGAGGAGACAGAAGGGTAGGCCTCGAGGGTTGTAGACGCTTCAGCCCGCCAGACACCATCCACAAGTATGTGAAAAATGGGATTTTCTCGTTCTGGTTTGGGTCCATACGTGAAAATGAAAGTATGCGGTACAATTGCCGGAAGAGCAGTTGACGGTCCATTTTTATCTGCTTACCGTCGTGCAATGTGGCCGAACATACCGTCGTCCGGTGAGCGTACCATGGCACATACCAAGTTTCCCCCTCCCTCCGGGCGTCGTGTCGCCTTAGCAGGACCTCGAGAAGCGGGCGAGAATGAAGGCCCAGGTCCTTCTCCGGCTCTTCAAAGTGGTCTTCGGCAGCGTGACCCTCTTCCCCAAGAACGAGCGCATGCTCCGACCGCACCTCCAGACGATCGTGCTGTCCTGTCTCCGGTACACGACGAGGGTCAAGGACCCGACCAACTACTACTTCCTGCTCAGGGCGCTCTTCCGCAGCATCTCGGGCGGGAAGTTCGAGAGCAGCTACAAGGTACTGTGTACTTCGAAGTACTGCTGTGTGGTGTTGTTGCTGGGCCAGGTGTGTGCGGTGAAACCGTCGACAGCAAATACAGGGAACACCACGAAATACATCCATCCATCCGGAGTGGGCTCATGAGAGCACAAGTGTCATTAAAAAAGGGGTGATGCAAGATGAACATAACCCCGCCCGCCCTTGAACACATGCGTTCATCGATTGCCGCCCGTCCCGCAGGAAACCTACCTGCTCTTCCCGCAAGTCCTGATGTAATCCCACCCCCGTATTCCCCCCCGCCTGACCGCCCTTGAAAATGCAATACGTGTGTTCATCGATCTCCTCCCCACCCCGCAGGAAATCTCCCCGCTCTTTCCTGGTGTAACCCCCCCCCTATTCCTCCCCGCCTGACCGCCCTTGAATATATACGTGTGTTCATCGATCGCCGCCTTTCCCGCAGGAAATCTACCCCCTCCTTCCGCTGCTCCTAACGGAGCTGAGCAAGCTCCACCACCGAGCGGAGGAGGTGTCGATCAAGAACATACTCGTCGAGCTCTGCCTGACAGTCCCGGCGAGGCTTGCCTCTCTCCTGCCCCACCTGCCCCTCATGATGAGGCTCATGGTCCACGCGTTGAGGTGCCGGGGCGACCTGGACGGGCTGGCGCTGCGCACGCTCGAGTTCTGGGTGGACAACCTGAACCCGGACTACCTGTACAGGATCATGAGCCACGACCCCAAGGTTTGGCGTTCGGGGTGTCTTGGTTGTACAGGATCATAAGCGAAGGTTGGGGGTTGTATCCTGCTGGGCTGTCTTCGTACAGGATCATGAGGCGCGATCCGAGGCTTAGCCTTGGGAGCTAGTTGTGGTTGTAGCCTGCTGCTGTGTGTTTGTAAAGGATCATGGCCACGATCCGAAGGGTTGACGGTCGGGATGTCTCTTTTGGCTGTGTCTTGCTAGGTTTAGGTACACGTGTGTGTGGCATCCAACGAAGCGCCACCGCTTGGAAACCCGGGAAATCAGTCAAGAATTTCACAGTCAACCGGTGCTCCGTTCCGAATCCAACCCTACGCTACGCCAATGTAAAGTCGATGCTGGGGTTGCCTACCCCCACCGAGGGCGTAAGAGACGACGATTGGGCAGAACAAAAAGGTTCTTAATCCTTACCGTAAGTGGTGACGCCAACTGTACGTTGACGCGCGGTAGTCGGCGGTGGCTGGAGCTGTGAGTCCCCCATCAGCACCCATCAGTACCAACAAGGAGGAATTCCCCCTCCCATCGGTGTTTGCCATCGAGGTTGGGTTTTCGTCGCTTGGCAACGACGTTGTAAAACAAGCCAATTCACTTCGTGAGCTCGGCAACCAGGTTACCGTTTTTTTTTTACCTCTGTTTTTTTTTTTTGCGGTAATCATAATGGTGGTCGAATGGATCATGTTATACGGGGTGGAGAAGCCTCACTCCGCGCAAGGGGGATGATTGCACCACGTTGTGTTAAATTGGTCAAGCACCCTCGAGGCAGTTACGCAGTGCCTACGACTGTCTCTGGAAGTG